GATGTTTTTGATTTTTTACATTCTTTTGTTTTATTATTTTTAAGTACATAATATTTTATAAAATAATTAAAATAATTTATAATATTAATAATTAATGAAAAAAAAGTAATTCGCAAAAATAAGAAATTCGAAATTTGGAATTTTTTTAAAAACACGTGGTCGAAAGAAAAGAGCAAAAATAATTAGATAAATTTTCACTCTTCTTTATTACCTACTCGGTGGTCACTGAAAAGTTCCCAACCCCAAACTGAAGAGATATCGGAGTGGGGATGGAAAATTAGATAAGGAAATGTAACAAAAGTAATAAAATTTCTTTCCCTCTCACTCTTTCTTTACCTTTTCAGTTTTCTGGAACTATTGTATATTTAAATAGATAGGAGAACAAAGCTTGACCTTCAAGTGCAATTTTCAAAATATTCAAATATACCTGGTGGGGATTTGAATATAGAGAAGAAAATGAAACAAAATAATAAAATTTTCTCTCACTTTTCTTTTTACTATCAAAATAAATTCTCCATCCTAGATTGGAATTATTCAGTTTAAATAAAATTATTTTTGAAATAAATAGATATTTTACAAATAAAATTTATTTTTAATAAATAAATATTTCGCAAATAAATTTATTTCAAAGAAAACAAATATTTTTCAAATAAAGTTATTTTTTATTATAATTATTTAATTATAATTCTATTATTTATTATAATTATTATATTCATATAAAATGTTTTTAAAAAATTATAATAAATTATAAATATTAGAAATATTATAAATATTATAAATATTTTGATAATTATAGATATTTAAAATATTGAAATTAAATTTCTATCTTGAATTAAAATATAAACTTTTGTTTACAATCGAGAACAATGTACCAGTACATTCACAGAAACGGAAAACAATGGTTGACCTTTGTAAAATTTTCCAAACTCAAAATATACCCTGTGGGGTTTTTCTTTTTCTTTCATTTCATTATTTTCCCCAAAAATAATTTTAATTTTCATTAAATTAATGAAAATTAAGCTAACGAAATAAATTATTAATATTTAATAAAATTAAATAATTAATTTCTTGAGAAGTAAAAAATATTATTTGAATGTAAAAACAGAGACAAAAATTGTATTAAGATCATTTTTTTATTAGCGATAAATAAACTTACATAACTTTACAATAACAATATACTCTCTCTTGTAACTCTTAAAAAATATAAGATCTATTAATAATAATTATTCGTAAATAATATCCAGTTATACAACTTGACAAGAACAATTCGTTGCATACACTGAAATATCTAAATACGAATCTCAAAAAAGATTTCACAAAAAAAAAATAAAATAAAAAAAAATCATCTCTACAATTAAAATATATCTCACATTCATCTCGTCATTTTCTCATTCTCATTTTATTCATATAACAGTAGCGAATAATTACGCATTTAGAAGAAAAAAACTTATTTATACAATAACATGAAAAAATTACTTCTTCTTCTTCTTCTTCTTCTCTTTTTTTTAGGTCATTCGTAAATAACATCGCATGCAGATAAAAAAACAATCTTCTTATATTATAATAATAATATTAAAGATAATTTTAAAAATCTCTTTCTCAAAAATTTGTTTGAGAATAAAACAATTATTTTTTTTTGAAAGAGAATATTTTTGAGATATAGATTTTTTTTATTATAATATGTATACAATAAGAATATTCGAGCAACATGGCATATTCAACAATTATCTATATTTTATTTATATATTTTTTTTTATTATAATATAAAAATACCGAATAAATCTGACAACTATGAGATTTATTATTAAATATTGAGGAATTTTGATTTTTGTTCAACGTCATGTTACTCGAATGGCAAAAAATTTCTTTTTTTTTCTCGCTTAAAATTATTATTTCAAAATCTAAGCGTTTTGATTGTACAGTTCGACCTACATTATTGGCCACGCAGATCGAGTTGAAATTATTTTTCACTTCATCCACTTCAATAATATGAACAATGGGAACTATACAATTTCTGTTTTCAACAAAATTTAATTTTTTTTTTTTTTTAAACAACCTGTTTCTTTTTCTCAAAACAAAATTTTATTTTTCTCCAATAAAATTTCATTTTTATTGGAAAAAAATTCTATTTTTAATTCTTTCACAAGAAAATTGTACTTTTTTTTAATCAACAATTTACGGACATTTTTTCGGAAATTTACATTTTCACAAAATCAGTCGTGAATGGAATTTTTTTCGCGTCACACTCTTTTTTTATAGAAAATAGAAAAACAATGTTTTGAAAATAAAATTCAAAATAATAAAAACAAACTGAAAATAAAAAAGAGAAAAAATTACAAAGAAAAATAAAAATACATAATTATTAGAACCAATTAATTGTTATATTAAATTAACAATTATATTTTTCATTTCTAAAAGTTCTAAAAAATTAAAAAAAAGTTTATTTTTTTCAGATAAAAATCCAAATGGAAAAATAATTTTCTATAAAAGAAGAGAATAAATTATAAATATTTACCGAATAGATATTTTTTTAATAAACATTTTTTAATATATCTCTCTCGTATGTATTATCAAAATCGAGATCAAAATTTAATCAATATAATTAAAATATATAATAATATTTCTTTTCTGTTAAAAACATTTTTTTTTAAATTATTTTGTAACAAAGTCTTTTTATTACAAAATAATTAATAATAATCATAATAATTAATATACACGAATAATATTAACAATCTTAAAAACATTTCCAATATAGAAACAAATTTTCATCTCAAAATAAATCGCAATTGAAGGATAAATAACATCGGATTATCATTGTAAGTTCCTTCAAAGTTTCTTCCTCGATCTGGAATATGTATAATATATTTATATAGTGTGTGTAACCTGTATTTAATCAATCACTTAGGACTTCAGTAACCTTTTAACATTAATTAGTATTACAGAGTTGCATGACTCATGCGCCTAGACTAAACGGAAATCGATAAGCTAAATCTACGTGCAATGTATTCTCTAGAGGATACAAGAGCGTTATTCGATTTATGGTTCTCTACTCGAAAACAAAAATACAAAAAAAAAAAAAAATGTTTGCAGTATCGAGTACTTTGCTTGTGAAAAATACTTCCCCCCTCCCTACCCTAAAAATATTTTTTTTGTACATTGTACAAAACACGAGATGGGTATCGCAGATTCGCTTTTCTTTTTTTTATAAAATCCAACAAAAAAAAAAATTTTTTTTTTTTCTCTTAACATACATAATATATGTATATACTGTCGCGTGCATATACAGGATACCGCAAACTTTTTATTTCTATTTACAAAAAAAGGGGGAAGAAAAACAATAGTCTTTGATATTTATAAGTATTTTCCTTGACTTCGTCAAAAACACCATGAAAAATATCTTCACAATATCTTTCTCCCATTAATTTTCGATTTATTTATTCAAGAAATAAATCTTTTTTTTTCTATACACAATATTATAGATCCTGAATTTTGTGTATTAATTTCAGGATTTTTACTTTCGTTTTTTTCATCGATATCACTCACTTTTTTTCGGTACTCTGTTTTGATATTTTCATTGGTTCTTTTTTTTTTTTTTTTTAATTTAATTTTTCAATTATCTGTACTTTTTCTTATGAAATTGTAACATTTTTTTTTTTTTTTTGGTTTCTTACTCGACGCTTTATACGACTTTCGTTTTTTGAAATTTTTCTCGAAATTCCCTTTTTTTATTTCTTCTTCGACTTTTTTGGATTATTTTTCCTTTCATTTGAATTTTTCAAATTCTTCTTTAATTTCGCTATAATAGACTTTTTCTTTTCTTTATTTTTCGTAATTCCTTTTATTTTAATTTCTATTTAATTTTTTGTATTTTAAAGTTTACTTTTTTTTATTTACTTCTCTTATTTCCTTTCATTTGAATTTTAGTTTCAATTTTTTTATTTTAGTTCTTTTTGTTTATTTTTTCATTTATTTATTTACTTACAAGATACCTAATAAAGGGCTTACAAAAAATTAAAATACCCTTTTTGTTAAATATTTAATTAACAATTTGTTTCACAATCAATTTTCTTTTCTTTGTATGTAAATAAATAAATAGACTCACTTTTTTTTCCTACTTTTCCCTTTTTGTTCAATTAGAAAAATTAATTTTTAAAAATAACTTCTTTCATTTGATTTTGTTTCTCGAAAAACTCAAAATTATTTTCAACGATAATTGAAGAAGAAAAGTTGAAAGAAAGAACAAAAACAGTTGAAGAAGGAATAAAGAAAAAGAATTTTAAAAATAATCTCTCGCTTTATCAACTTTTCTCTAGTTTTCTTCGAAGTAAAGTTTTTCTTTCTAAAAAGGAACTCTTTCTCTCTCTCTCTCTCTCTCTCTCTCTCTCTCGAAAAAGAAACACTTTCTATTAAAACTTCTATTAAAACCTTGAAGAGAATTTACGCAAAGAGGTGTTTGAGTGCTTTCTCAGACTTCATTCGGATTAAATGTCAAAAAACCATAATATATCGTAGTTACAATACGTAGACATTTAAAGATTTTGACACAACTTCTCAAAAGTCAACGTTGTTAATTTTTTTTCTCATAAGAATATCATACGTAGACAGTATTTTATGTACAGTTTTTTTCAACCCTCTACGATGTTTCTTATTGAGTGCGTTTACATCACAGATTTAAAAGTAACTTCAAAATATTTCACTATTTTTTTTGTCACCATTAAATCGATATTGTAACTCACATTCATATTTTATCAACAGACATGCAACATTGATGGCAAGCTAGTATACATGTTCTGACAAAATTTTTTCCACAAAGAACAGGAAATCTTTTTTCTTTCAGTCAATAATTGACTGAATTAATCATTAATTCTACAAACTATACAAACATGTTTTTCTAGATGCAGAGATTTCTGAGCAAAATTTTTCTTATTGTCCAGTCGGGAAAAAAACGATATTTTCCATTTGACAATTTTTTTTTACACAGGAAAATAACGTTACTGGACTGTGTAACAATGTATTATTCTTGTTAATCTCGATTTTTCTCAACAAGTAAGTATAGAATCGGAGATATTTTTTTCAAGTTTGAAAAGGATTTAATTTCCTTTCCTTCTATTTTTTTTCTTGGGAATTAAACTCATTTTACAAAATTTGGTGTATTTTCGAGTAAACGTCATGAGAGTGTAATATTAAGATAAATATAAAAACTTTGTTTATCGTACTTTACAAACATACACATACATTTATGATATAAAATTTGCTAACGTGTTCGATTCACTATAACAATAGGGAGAAATAATTATTTTCTGTATAAAAGGATAATAATTTTCAGGTAATATTTTTCTGATTTCAGTTTTTTTTTCATGTATGATGGCAGTGCAACAATTGCAAAGTCAATTTTCCCTTATACATTTTTATCAGAAGTGGATAGAAAATTTTTGCAATCAATCCCTCATTTTTTTTTGAGTCAATAATAAGTATGTACAAAATTTGATTTTTATTTTCAGTGGAAAAAAAAGGATTGATTGATAAAATTCTTTCCCGCATAAACTCTGTTCATTTTGCGGTATTGCTATAATTTGAGAGTATAAAAATATCGAATCTCTTTGAAATTTATCGAACACGTGTCGCAATTGAATTTATCATGAAAAAAAGATCACTTGTTTTTTTGTTATTTTTTTTTCTTTTGAAAGTATACAAGGAAAAATAAGTGTCTACCGTATAATCGGCAGTGTAGAGAAAGCATATAGTTTGTAAATTTGTGTTGTTTCATATTTGGTCACGAGTTTTATATTCGCCAATAATAGAACAGTCAATTTTATTTCGTGAGTTTTGCTACAATCGACACTCCCAGCCGCACTCTAAATTAAAAATTGAAAATCCTATTGTTGTACATTCAAAAATTTCCTTTTTTCTCAATTCTTTCTTTTTTTCTCCATCTTAATAAATTATTCAGTATTAAGAGAAGATTTACAAATTAAAAAAGTCTTCAAATCAAAAATTAACAAATTTTTTGAATTCTTTCAATTTTTCGAATTATTCAAGAACTTTTTGCAGTAAAAAAATGAGTGTACAACATTTCAGTCAGAAAAACCCTCAAGTGTCTCAGTCTACTTTGAACGAACCGAAAAATAAAATATTGATGAGTCAATGGAATGAGGATTCATTGTTTATTTAAAAAAAACGAAGAAAAAAATCTTTTCTAAAACAGTAGATCATGTGCCATCAATTTTGCCAATTGATTAATTTTCCTTATGGAAAAAAAATTGATAATTATAATTGAAATTTCTCAAAGCATGTTATGAATTAGATACGATTATAAAACTATAAAAAAAATAAAAATAAAACGACACAAATAAGAAAAATTAATATCACTTCAATAGTAAAAGTTTATCACAATAATTCTTTTTTTTTACTAATTTTTTAATAATGTAAAAGACACTGGTCGAATTTCATTTTTACTCAGTCGGAAAAAATGATTATTATTATTATTATCATCAATGAATTAACCATTATCAGTGAATTAATAAATGAGTGAATTAAGTACTTCTATAAAAATTTATGATGGCTTCACTTTTTCGACTCATAACGGAGCGGAATGTAGCGAGGACGACGACGACGAGTTCAAAAATGCGTGAAGCGAGTATCGAGAGAGCTTTTGTGCGTGCCTCGCATTTCTTTTTCATTTTTCAAATGAAAAATAAGTATTGTCAATTTTCTCAGCCATGTAGTAAAGATTTTGTTTTCTCTTAAATCAATTGAAAATGATTCTTTAATTTAGATTCTTTAAAAATTATTCAGTTTTTAAAATTTAATTCTTCGAAAGAAACACTAATTTTTTTACATTACTTTTTTTTACTCAAAAGTTTCTAAGTTTCTCTTTTTATATCGAACTCGATTTTTTATCAATAAATCTATAGAAAAATCAGGAAGTATTAATTTCCGAAGAATTAAATTCAAAAACGGATGTTCCAAAAAATTAATAAATAAAAAAAAATATTACTTTACCGGATAATTTCTGTAAAGCGGAAAATAATTTCCGAAGAATCAATTTTCTCTTTATGATAATGAAGATGAGGATGATCATGATGATTATGATTATGATGATTGATCTTTGGAAGATGATGAATTAATTTCTTTTTATACAATGGCTTCATCGTCAGTTTCCTCGCTATCTTCAGATCTTCTTGATGTATTCACAATGGGTGAAGAATTGAAGGAATTTGTTCTCGTTCTTTTGAATTGTTGTCGTTTCTTGTCCTGATTAATTTGTTGTTGATTATCGCTACTTTGAACTCGAGCTGCTATCAATGGTCTCAATGCAGAACGTAGAGACCAATACAAACGTGGATAAGATTGCTCATGACGTGTAATCAGTTCCTCATTTCGTTGTCGTTTCTGAGATGAAAACAAAAATAATTAGAAGAAGAATATAAAAGAATATATATTTAAAACGTATTTAAAAATGAAATATTCGAAAAAAAATCATAATTTCGCTGTCATTACAAAGATGAAGAGAAAAAAAAATTAGAAGAAGAATATAAAACAAAATTTTACAAAATATTTAAAGAAACATAAAACAAAATATTCAAAAATACACGAAAATAAAATATTTTAAAATAAAATATTAAAAATCGAAATACCCATTCATAAGAAAAATATTCTGCATAAATTATTCAATATCAATTATTATAATTACTAGCAAATAGGTATTATGTGCGGAACGTGATATTTAATTTGTTATTATTATGCAAATTAAAAAATTTCTTATTTTCAAAAATAAATTTTTAAATAATTTTATAGTCAAAATTTAAAAAATTCACTTCTAAAGTGCATAATTAATTATTGTTATCTATATTTTGAATAATTTTAATACAATTCTTCGCAAGAATTCAATTATTTTTATAAATAGTACAACTTTTTGCAAAAATTCAATTATTTTCAACAAAATTATAATAAAATTTTAAGAAAGAATTAAATTATTTTCTAAAATCTTTGCAAAAATTAAATTATTTTCAATAAAATTTCACGAAAGCATTCCATTTTTTCTTAATTCGTTATAAAATTTTTCAAAAGAATTTAATTATTTTCTAAAATTTTAATAAATCCTTCGAAACAACTCAATTATTTTTTAATTTTCAATAACATATTTCAAAAGAATTGAATTTTTTTATAAAATTTTAATAAATCCTTCGAAATAATTCTATTATTTTTAATACAATTTTCATTTAAAATTTCGTGAAAGAAATCAATTGTTTTTTTAATTTTTAGTAATATTTTTCGAAAAAATTCAATTATTTTCTGCGATTTTAATAAATCCTCCTAATTAATTGAATTATTTTTCTAATTTCTAATAAAATTTTTCAAAAGAATTCAATTATTTAAAGAAATTTTAATATATTCTTCGAAAAATCTCAATTATTTTTTAATTTTTAATACAATTTTTCAAAAGAATTGAAATATTTTATAACATTTAAATAAATTCTTTGCAATAATTCAATTATTTTTATAAATAGTAAAATTCTTTGCAATAATTCAATTACTTTTAATAAAATTTTAATTTAAAATTTCGTGAAAGATATCAACTGTTTTTCAATTTTTAACAATATTTTTAAAAAGAATTCAATTATTTTCTAAATTTTTAATAAATCCACCGAAACAATTAAATTATTTTTTAATTTTTAATACAATTTTTCAAAAGAGTTCAATTATTTTATAAAATTTTAATAAATCCTTCAAGACAATTATTATAATTATTTTTATAAATAGTATAATTTCTTTCAATATTTGAATTATTTTTTATACAATTTTAATTTAAAATTTCGGGAAAGAAATCAATTCTATTTTATTTTTTAATAATATTTTTCTAAGGAATTCAATTATTTTCTAAATTTTTAATAAATCCACCGAAACAATTAAATTATTTTTTAATTTTTAATACAATTTTTCAAAAGAGTTCAATTATTTTATAAAATTTTAATAAATCCTTCAAAACAATTTAATTATTTTTGTAAGTAGTAAAATTCATCGCAAAAATTAAATTATTTTTTATAAATAATAAAAATCTTCTCAGAAATTCAATTATTTTCTAAAATTTTCAATTAAAATTATTCAAAAAACTACATTATTTTCAAAGAAACTTAAAGAAATTCTTCAATAGAATTTAATTATTTGCAAAAAATCTAATAAAATGGTTTAAAAGAGTTTAATTTTCTAATACTAATTTCAATAAAATTTTAATAGTAAAATTTTTAATTACATTTTTTAAAATCGATTATATTCAATAAATTAAAGAAATTTTTTTCAAAGAATTTAATTATTGTCAAAACCCTTAATTAGTATATCTATTCTTCGAAAGAATTTAATTATTTTTTATATTTTAATAAAATTCCTTGAATGAATTAAATTATTTTAGAAAATTGTAATAAAATTCTGAGAAAAATTTAATTATTTTCTAAAACTTTTATTAAAATGCAATAATTAAATGTTTAAGTTCAATTATTAAGAAACACGATTATTTTAAAAACTTGAAAGAAATTGTTCATAAAATTCAATTACTTTCAATATTTTCAACTAAAATTATTAAAAAAAACTCCATTATTTTAGGAAAATTCAAAAAAAAAAAATTCTTCAAAAGAATTTAATTAGGATTTTTAAAAATTTTAATAAAATTCTTCGCGTGAATTCAATTATTTTTATAAATAATAAAATTTTTCGAAGGAATTCAATTATTTTCATAAATAATAAAATTCTTCAAAGGAATTAAATTATTCTTAAATTCTTTTAAAAAAATTCTTTGCAAAAATTCTATGATTTTTAATAAACTAATTTTAAAATTGAAAATATTTAAAAAGAAAAATTATTAAATTAAAACTAATAAAAGTTAGGAAACAAAAAAGCCAGCAATAACTAACTTCAAACTGCGAACAGATTACCGGAATTCAACATTTATTAATAAAAATTATATTATCCGTTGAAATTTAATTTTATTCTCCACTTTACCTGAAGTGCTTCTTCATTACTGGCTTCACGAAAAAGTGGTAATTTCTTTCCGTCGAAAAATTGTCGAAGCGCCTTGTCGCTGACGTAAACGTAAGGTCTGATAACCCTGAGGTCCTGCTCGCGAATATTATAATGAGCCTTCATCGTTCGCAATTTTCCACTATGGAAGACGGAGGCAAGAAAACCTTCGGTGAGATCATCTAAATTTTGTCCGAGTGCAAGAACATTGTAATTGTGTTTTTTCGCCACGGAATAGAGTCTTGCGCGTGTCGATTTATCACAAAAGCTGCAGGGTCCATTGTCTGACGCCTTCGACCCAGAATCGTCATCGTCCTCCTGATTAGCACCCGAATGAACCTCCTCATAAAAATACGGAACGTCCAGTGCCTTGAGATATGACATTGATTCAAGAGGATCGTGTCGACTGTCATCAACAGCAGCAACGCCAATTCCAAAATCGATTCCCTTTGAGCGCACATAGAATCGATATTGATGAAGAGTATGAACAAGTGCCAATGAATTACGTCCACCCAATGACAAACAAACCAAAACCCTATCGTTATCCTTAATCATTTCAAATTCCTGCATCGCAGCTACCACCGGTTTCCAAACATTCTTCGGTGGACAATGCCACAACAATTGTACCGAGCTGATTCCATTTTCTGTTTTTGAATCTTCCTCGCCCTCTTGACCGGAACTCTCCGAGAGGAGGAACGCCTCCTCATCCTCAGATAAATCATCGTTCGTTAGTCGTGTTTGTTTGGAGAAATTTATTCCCGTATTTATCGTGAGACGTGGTCTTCTCGAGTAACCATTTGAATTTGATTCAGCACTACTGCTACGACCAATTTCCGGTGATTCGCCAGATTTGTCATTCTCATGGAATGACAAATTAATTCCACTGTCTTGTGAACTGACCGAATTCACTGCCGAATAGATTTTTGGCAAGGCTTTTTCAGGCTCATTATGCTCCTCATGATCCTCATCGTCATCAATATCGTCCTCGTCTGTATTTTTCTCCCCATCGCCTGCACTCGATTTTACAACGTATATCACAGTCTCGTCTGATGAACACTCACTGGACATTTTACTGTCCTGTTGACTGAGTTCGCCGAGTTTTCCCAGAATCACTGGAGTTCGTGGACGTGCAGAAGTTGGCAGAACCATGCGTCTCCTTTCCGCTGGAGATGCACACTCCGATGATGATCTGTCGTCTGGCGAATACCTGGAGGCAATTATTTTCTTCATCAGACGTGTAATTATGAACCTTGTATCAAATTTGATTTTCTATTTTAAAAAAAAGAATAAATAAATTAAACAAAGCAATTAAAGAACTAAACAAAAAAAACAAATAAAGAAAAAAATAGGATTGCCACAAAATTTGATTTTAATTTTTCCTGACTTTTCCCTGATTTAAAAAAAAGAACTAAACAAAAAAATACAAATAAAGAAAGAAAATTGTATTGCCACAAAAATTTGATTTTAATTTTTCCTGACTTTTCCCTGATTTCTAGATGGAGTTTTAACTTTTTTCTTGACCCTAAAGAATATTTTAATTCACTCCAAAAATAATTAGATACACAAAAAAATGTTTGTAATACATTTTTGAATATCGTTAACAGTAAAATTATTCCAAACATCAACAGTTTTTTATTTAAATAAATATTTAATTATTATTATTTTTCCACAGAAATTAAGATTTTCAAAAATTCCAAATTTCAAATCCGTTGAAATTCAATAATTTATATAAGAATTGCTACTGCAACTTATCGAAAATTATTTTCAAGATTTCGATTCAATTATTTTCTAGAATTTTTAACTAAAATTATTCTCTAATTCAATTATTTTTAATAATATTTGAGAAATTCAAGAATTAAGAAATTGAATTATTAAGAATTGAGAATTCAGTTATTTACTTAAAGAAAAAAAATTCCACCTAAAATATTTCTGAAATTCACTTTAAAATTTTTTACAATTTAATTTCAAAAATACAACTAATTTCAAAACAAAATTTTAATAACAATATTTTGAAAAAAATAACTTCTTCAGAATTTTTTATTAATAGTTTTTAAAATTCAACTGTTCTAAACCTATAATTTATTACTCATAAATTATTGCAGAAAAACTATTTATAATATTAATGCAAAAAAAAAAGGTTTTTTTAAAATTTATTTTCTAAGAAAAACAGAATTATTTTTTTTTATTTGTCTTGTTCTGTATAGAATTAAAAAATTGATTTTTGGGAAGTTCATTTCATTTTTTTCCTACTTAGTTCAAATTTTTACTAATTCAAATTTAGGGAATAAGTTTTGTGATAATATTATTGCAAAAAAAAATTTAGAAATTAATTTATTTTACACAATTTTGCCTTAATATGCGAAATTTTTTCGATTTTAAAAGCTACCATTTTTGATAACTTTTTGTAATTTTTGTAACTTATTATAATTTTGATTTTGAAATAATTTAATTTTTACATAGAATTTTATTAAAACTTTTGAAAATAGGTTAATTCTTTTGAAGTATTTTACATAAATGTTTTTAATAAAATAATTAAATTTTTTTGAGAAATTCAATTAAAATTTTATTGAAAAATAATTGTATTATTGAAAATTTTTTCAACGAATGTAATTGAACTTTTATTGAAGATAATTCAATTCTTAGAATAAGAATATTATTAAATTTTTATTAAAAATAATTGAATTCTTTCAAGAAATTTTATTAAAATTGTATTGAAAATAATTGAATCTCGTGTAAAAAAAATTTAATAAATATTTTAGAAAATAATTGAATTGTTTTGAAGTATTTCAAGGAAATTTTATGCAAATAATTAAATTCTTGCGAAAAATGTTATCCATTAAAATAATGGAATTCTTTCAAATTTTTACAACAAATTTAATCTTCAATCTGAAATTATTCAAAAATTGAAGTTGATATTTGAAAATAAAAAAATGTAATTTACATAATAATAATAAAAAATTAAATTGTTCGCAAAATAATTCATAAATAATGAATTTTCGATAGTTTTTCCTGAATTAAATTATTTAAAATAAATTCAATTTCAAATTTGTAAAGTTCAATAATTATTTTTAGAAAATAGAAAGAATTTAAAATAAAATTAAATCTTTTCAATATTTTTACAAGCTGCTGGACAATAAAATTCAGAATTTTCTTATAAATTCAAGAAATTGAATATTTTTCCAGTACTTTTGATAAAATTCCCTGAAAAATTTTACTTTTTCCTGATTTCCTTGACTGACAACTCTGAATAAAAAAAGAAAAAGAAGAAAACTATCAACTTTTGAAAATAAATGAAAATTACCTGTGAAGTCCATCGACAGAGTTGACCATACACCTAATTTCGGACTTGACCTCACTCGCCATCTCCTTGGAGAATTCCATGAGATATTCAGCGATATCGCTTGCTGAAAACGAATCATGTTGCTGCTGCTGTTGTTGTTGTTGTTGTTTCGATAGATGTTGCGGTGTCGTTTCACAAGTGTTCGTCTCAGAGAGAACATCGTCAACTTTCGAGATGACTTCTCGTATTTCGGATTTAATTTCAGTGGCGAGTTCCTTCGTCACCTCCTTGAGATAAGCGCGAAGATCGTCCTCCGAACTTTGGCTGACATTCGAAGGCGATGATCGGCCGTGACTTTTAGCGTTCACCCCCGAATCAATTGATAACGAACACGAGAATGTTGGCACATGACCAAGCGACGATGACGATCTATTCGGTGAAATAGCAGCATCCGAATCGAAAGATCCATTCAAATCCGTTTGACTACTACAACTGCAGTGACGAAATCGCGATTGTGAATTTTCCCGATTATTCGCAATTCCCAAACTCGCGAGTGTTTGCGGACTGAGAGGAATTGGAACCGGTGATGTTGTACCGCCAGATGTTGTTCGACATCGACTGCTACTACCTAGGGAATTGCATCTGGTTCTCGCGACAAAAGTGTCACCAGTGCCAGGGCATAAATTTTGCTCGCTCGCTATCAGTCTCGCTACTGTTGGCGTCGTTCCGAGCATTCCAACTGCTCCTGATGAGACAACTTCACCGACGGCGAATCTAACACTCGGCATTGGTGAACCGGGACAAGTGGCCGGTGATTTTTGTCCATCGTCATCGTCGACGTCGTTCACTCTCAATTTGTATTTGCCATTTTTTCCATCGCTCGGCAAAGCGGGGAGACTTCGATGCCTCAATGAAATTGGCGAAATCGGCGGATTTCCCGATCGTGGCACATCGCTGTTTAATCTCCTAATGGCAAAAACATTCGATACGTATGAATTTGATGATATTGGTGCGGTGTCGAAAAATGGATGACCAACGATTCTGAAAATAAGTAGAAAATTCGTCAGGGACTTTTATTCAAGAACTGAGGAAAATATGAGAAAGGAAGAGTAGAAATAGAGACAAAATTAGAAGGAAAAAAATAAAATAGAAGAAGAGAAAAAAGAAAAAGAATAAGGAAAATAAAATAAAAAATGAAAGCAGAGTCAGTCCCTCATTTTTTCATAGCTTTAAATTTGTTTTTCAAAAAAAAAAGAAAAAATGTGAAAATAAATAAAAGGAAAAAATAGAAGAAAAAAAATGAAAATAAATAAAAGGAAAAAATAGAAAATGAAAACAGAAAAAAATGCAAATAAATAACAGGAAAAAAATTGGAGAAAAAAAAATAGAAAACGAAAAAAAAATGAAAATAAATAAAAAGAAAAAAATGAAAGAATAAAAAATAAAAAACGAAAGAAAGAAAAAAAATGAAAATAAAAAATTCTCAGTTAGATTTCTTCCAAAATACGACTATTTTAAAAAAATGAAATAAGAAATAAAATAAAAATTTTTTGAAACTAAATAATGAAATTCTTTAAAAAAATGTAAAATTTATTTGAATTAAATTTGACGAAATGTCCAATTGTTTCAATTTTTTAAAATCATTTCCAAAAATTCAATTATTTTCAAAAAAAATTGCAATTAAAATTGTTAAAAAATCTAATTTTTCAGAATTTAAAAATTTTATTTATTCAAAACTTCACCAATATTATTAAATAAATATTTATTTTAAGCACTACAATTTTTAATACAATTTCAATGTGAAACCTTTTGAAACTTAATTATTTCTGAAAATTACATTTGACAATCTTCCAAATATTTTCTAGAAATAAAAAATAAAAAATATTCAATTATTTAAGTACTAAAAAAATTCAATTTTTTATATTAAATGTAACTTTCATTTCTCATGGCTTTTTTAAAGTAAAAATATTGAAAGTAATTGAATTTTAAAAAATGATAATAAAAAAAATTCTTGAAATTGGTTTTTTAAAAATATTTAAAAATAATTTTTGAAAGATAAAAATATTATATAATATTATAATTGAAAATATTCCATATAATTGAAATTTAGTAAAATGTTTCGAAACTATTTGAATTTTTTAATTAATATTTAATTTTTAATAAATCCTAATTTTAAAACTCTAAAAAAAGTAGATTTTTAATTATAGAGTAGATGTTACACAGTAATTTTTATTTTTTTAGATATTTGAATTTATAAAATTATGATAAAAAAAATCTATAAATTAATTTATTAAAAATATTAAAATGTTAATTTTCCAAAGTAATTAAATGTCTCAAGAGAAATTTTCGACAATTAAAACAAAGTAATCAATTTTTTGAATAATCATCATTAATAATTTTCAAAAACCTAATTTTAAAAAAAAATGTTAAATATATTTTTTCACAGAAATTTAAATTTTAAATAATTTCAATGTAAAACCGTTTGAAACTTAATTATATCAGAAAGTTTAAATTGTAATTATTTCTAAATTAAAATGTTTTCCTAACTTTTTTAATAATTTTTCTTATAAAATTGTTGTATTTTAAAATGATTAATGTATTGAAAATCATTGAATTCTTGCAAAGAATTTTATCGAAAAATTTGAAAATAATTGAATTCTTTCGAAGAATTTTCTTCAAATTTTTAAAAATAATTGAATTCTCCTGAGAATTTTATTACAAATTTTTAAAATAATTGAATTAATTAAAAAATTTCATTCAAAATATTGAAAATAACTGAATTCATACAAAGAAATTTATTATTTATGAAAATAATTGAATTCTTCTAAGAGAGTTGATCAACAACTTTTTGAGAATATTTGAATTCTTCAGAAAAATTTTATTATAGGTTTAATTTTTAAAAATAATTGAATCCTTTCTTGAAATTTTATTAAAATTGTTTTGAAAATAATTTAATTCTTGAGAACAATTTTATTATTTATAAAAATAATTTAATTCCTGAGAATAATTTTATTATTTATAAAAATAATTTAATTCTTGCAAAGAATTTGACTATTTATAAAAATAATTGAATTGTTTCGAAGAATTTTATTAAAATTTTAGAAAATAATTGAATTCTTTAAAAAATTTGATTAAAATTTTATTGAAATTAATTGAATTCCTGCGAAGAATTTGATTAAAATTTTATTGGAAGTAATTGAATTGATTTATAAAATTGTAAGCACAAGTCTTTTAGATTTGAAGTACTTTTGTACATTTTAAGTAAAATTATTCTTTAAATAATTTATAAGTAATAATTTTATTATAATTCTTCAAGAATTAAATTATTGTATAAATAAATTCGAATTTCATATTCTAAAAAGTTTAATTATTGTCATAAATAGAAAGAAAATGAAAATTTTGTTTTGTCTTAAAATTCGTGACGATTTCAAAGTTTATGAGGCAAACGAGAAAAAATGCAAGAAGAATTAAATTTTTTAAATATATTTCCAAAGGTTGTTGGGCACAAAAATTTAGAATTTTTTTATAAATTCGAAGTTTCTTATTTTGCCAGTATTTTTCGATTGAAATTTCCTAACTTTTCCCTGACCTTTGGCTAAATAAAGAATGTATGCAAATAGTAGAAAATCGTAAAAAAAAGTTAGTAAATAGTATTTCATTGATGATGAATGAATTTACTGGAAGAGTGCGAAGCCTCAGAAAAAAAAGGAAAATGAAAAAGAAATCCGAGAAAAAGAAGAAAAAAAACAGAATGACTCACTTGTACATTGCTGGATCGAAAGGAACGTGTTGCTTGACATTCTGCGAATTTCCAAGAAGCAGATCCTGCGCCTCATTGGGTAAAATAAACCAACGTAGACTCTCGGCTTTCTCATCAAAAATAACAGAATGATCAATTTGAAGTGGATATCTCTGAGCCATTTTTCTTGCCTTATTGAAAATATTTCTAGCAGTCTGTAAGCAATCGCTGTGACTCTGTGGGAATATACCAGAACCGGAAACACGTCTCTCGGTTGCATTCATTCTTCCGTCAGTGTATCTTATGGCACCGAGCCATTTTCGTTCTTTGAAAACGCTATTGGTATGATGTCTCCATTCACCAGTGTCAGGATTAAGAACATATTGTGGCAATAGTTTCCAGCCTTCGGTCGCCACCATTTTTAAAGCTTCAAGGACAAATGCCACTTCCGCCTCGGACATGAAGTAGGGAAAGGATAATCGCGCGAAACCAGGTCGAAGAGCTTCAGCGTTCGATTCTTCCTTGACGTCATCGCCACCACTAGAAAGAGAAATTTACATTCAAATGAGATTTCTCACAATATATTTATGTGTATACATCATAAAAGACCGGTTTCAGGTTTATGAACCTTGTGGTTCAATATTATTTTTCTTCTCTTTTTTTTCTCTATATACCAAACTTTGCCCGCCTGATTATTATTTATGAATAACGTATTTATTTCGGCTCTCGATTTATTAATACACTTTATTGCTTTTGATAAATTTTAGATTCGATTTGTTATTTTTATTCTTTTGCCTTTGAGAAAAATGAGTTCGAATTTTTACCTTTACTTTATTTTATGTTTCCAAAAATGAATTTGTACGTTCACAAAAATTAATTTACACGTTAACAAAAATTAATTTATACGTTTACAAAAATTTAATTTGTGTATTCACAAAAATTTAATTTGTACGTTTACAAAAATTTAATTTCTACGTTTCAAAAATTAATTTGTACGTTTACGAAAATTAATTTACACGTTTACAAAAATTTAAATTATACGTTCACAAAAATTAAAAGTATACGTTCACAATATTTTTTTTACATTCACAATAATTTATTTTTTACGTTCACAATATTTTTTTTTTCACATTCACAATAATTTAATTTATACGTTCAAAAAAAATCTAATTTATCTACATTTAAAAAAAATTTGATTTATTTGTTAAAAAATCGAATTTATACGTTTAAAAAAATTAAGTTTGTTAAAAAAAAATTTAATTTAAAATATTACGCAAGTCATAAATATTAATGAAGAAGTATATGACGTTGAAGAGTCGTTTTTTTTTCAAACAACTTTTTCGTTTAAGGAAAGAGAGTACTGTTATTTTATAAATGAATGGAGGCAATCAATTTTTTTTTTCAAAACTAACGTCATATATGAAGATTTTGTATATTAATGTTTAAACAACAGCCGCATCAAAAGTCACTTACATAGTTGCGTGTTTTATTATGCACTTCCGCCAGAGAGTAATACAACTCTTCGTAAGATACAATAACTTCGCGTGGTTATGCGTTTCCTGTATATATCTCCACAAGCGAAATTCATAAATCTACTGATATCCATTTTCCACAATATTCAAATATATTTCCATAATAAAAATTCTAATTTTAATTTTACTTTTACTTTATTCTTCATTTTTAATTTTACTTCTACTTCTTAATCAATTTTTTAATTTTACTTTTATTTCTTACTCATTTTCAATGTTTACATTTACTTCTTATTTTATTTTTGATTTTAATTTTATTTAAAATATATTTACAAAAAAGAAACATTTTTTACGACTAGGTATTTGAATAAGTTTATAAATTCACTTTCACTTTTGCGGTGAAAAAAATATTTAATTTCAAAAATCATTTGAAAAAAATTCTTTTCTATTTGATTATTGAATTTTTGATTGAAATTTATTAATAATAATTTTCTTCAAAAATGTTCTTTTTGAAGTTTTTGATTAAAATTGATTAACAATGAAAATTCAGGGTTGCCACAAATATTTCATTTTATTTTTCCCTGATTTCCAGACAAAATTTTCACATTTTCCCTGACCCTAAAGAATATTCTGATTCACTCTAAAAATTATTAGATACTCAAAAAAAATGCTTTATTACATTTATTTACAAATTTCTTTAATTGTAAATTTATTCAAAAACATCAATAACTTCTTTTTTAAATAAATATTTAATCATTATTATTTTTCTGTAGGAATTAAAATTCTTCAAAACATTCAAATTCAAACCTTTTTAAATTTAACAACTTATAAGAATATTATTAAAAAACATGAAGAAGGCGAAAGAAAGTTAATTATTTACAAAAATCCTAATAAAATCCTTCGTAAAAATTCAATTATTTTTACAAGTAGTAAAATTTCTCAAAAAAATGTAATAAAATTCGTTGCAATAATTCAATTATTTTCATGAATAATAAATCGATTGTTCGGTAATTCATTTTTAAATCAATTTTTATTAGAAAATTTTAGAAGAATTCAATTATTTAAATTAAAAAATAAATAATTTATTGAATAATTGAATGTTTGTTAAAATCGACTTCTCATAAAGAATTTTATCAACAAATTTTTAAATAATTGAATTCTTTTGACAAATTTTAATAAAAATTTTTAAAAATAATTACATTTTTCGAGAAATTTGATTAAAATATTGCATAAAAAATAATTAAAATCCTGCGATGAGTTTTATTATTTATGAAAATATTTAAAATTTTCTCAAGAATTTCATAAAAATTTCTCTAAAATAATTGAATTTCGGAAAAGAATTTTATTATTTATAAAGATACTTGGAATTTTGACAAGATTTTTTTTTTTTTAATTTTTGAACATAATTTAATTTCTGCGAAAAATTTTATTACTTTTGAAAATAATTTAATTCTTCCAACGAGATTAATTCAAGTTTATAAAAATTACTGAATTTCTGCGAAGAATTTTATTATTTATATAAATAATTGAATTCTTGCAACGAATTTTATTCAAGTTTATAAAAATAATTGAATTTCGGTGAAGAATTTTATTATTTATAAAAATAAGTGAATTCTTGAAAAGAACTTTGTTAAATTTTTTTAAATAATTGAATTCTTGCGACGAATATTATAAAAATCTTTTTTTAAAAAATTGATATTTTTCGAAAAATTTTATGAAATTTTGTATTTTAAATAATTGAATTCCTGTGAAATTTTGACAAGAATTTTATTAAATTTTTTAAAAATAATTGAATTTTGATGAAGAATTTTATTATTTATAAAGATAATTGAAATTTTGACGAGATTTTTTTAAAAATTTTTGAAAATAATTGGAATTCTGCAAAGAATTTTAAAAATTTAATTTTTTCCAGTACTTTTACTAAAAATCCCTGACCTTTCCCTGATTTCCCTGACCAATTTTACTTTCCCTGACTTTTTCCTGAATTCCTTGATTTTCCTGACCTGTGGCAACCCCGAAATTGTTTTCCTTAAAATTATTTTTTAATGTTTTTAATTAATTTTGATTCAAATAGTTTTCTAATATTTTTGATTAATTTTGATTCAAATGGTTTTCTAATATTTTTGATTCAAATTATTTTTCAATACTTTTGATCGAATCGTTTTTATGTAATTATCGGTGAAACGATTATTAGTTTACTCGAAATAGAATTACCTTTCTGCAGTTTACGATAATTTACTTCAAAGTTTAAGAAAAATAAATTAAAAAAAGATTTATAAGTTTCGAAAAATCATTTGAAAAAAAATTCTTTCTAATTTTTTTTTTTTATTATATTTCAGATTAAAACAAAATAATTAAATTCTGAAATTTAATACTTTAAATTGTAGTTAAATCTTTGAAATAAAAATCCGAATTGAATTGAATGAGAAAAACGATTTTTTTTCTTTCTTTCTTTGGGGAAAAATTACCTTTGAAGAACGGCTTCATATTCCTTGGCAAGTTTTTCATCTATTCCCATGAGGTCGTGAGCATATCGACCCGCGCAAGCGCATCCACCACGTGCTTGCACCCCGAAAACATCATTTAAAACGGCACAAACAAAATTGTGGTGAAGAAATGTACCACGTGGATGTCGGACCATGAATGAAAAAATAGGCAGCCTTTTAACGTTTTGCGACGTGCTTCCAAGTAAAATCAGTTCCGGAATTGTTCTCACATGAGCCAATACTTGTCTGAAAATTGAAAAAATCACAAAAATTAGTATTTCGTCATATTGGAAAATAATTTATTACAATTAACAAATTCTGGTAAATTTACTTTAGAACTCAAAGCTAATCTCAAATAACATCGAAAGAAAATTCTCTAAAAAAAAGTATAAAAATTAAAAAGAAAATTTCCAACCCAGAAGTATATTTCTTTGTATAAAAAAAACATTTTCCTGCTTTAATTTCAGTTTAGTATAATTTATTAATCTTTTTTTTCTTCGTTTAAAAAAGACCAAAAAATAATTAATTAATTATAAAATTAATTATTTTTTCTAAATTAAGTGAGGAAAAATAATTATTCTTTCTAACTTCTAAGTAGAAGAAATCACATCTGATGAATATTTCCGTATATTTTACATCACTACTTTTGCCGCATATAAAAGCGAAAGTATACCGCGAGAACTAAACAAGTTCTGATAATTATACGACAGCGGAAATAAATGTTCTTTATTAGCGAGAGATGGAATATCTTCGAGATAAGCCAACGGAAGGTATTGGAGAGCTTGCAAAAAAAAGAGAGGAAAAAAATTATTCAATTAATGGAATCTTATTTACAGACTGCAAAAACATGACCAGATGGAATTTAATTCACTTTCACAAATCACGATATTGAATAATCACATTCAATTATTATTCCCTATTATAAATGACATATTCTCTCTGTTATCAGTGTAAATATTTTGTTGGAAAATATTTTTTTTATTTCTGTCAATTTGTCACGCAATGCATTTGACTTTTTAATTAAATAAATTTTAGTCTTGAAAATTACGATTGAAATTAATTAATTGCAATTAGTTGACATTTTTATCTTTATTACTATTTTTTCCCTATTTTTTCCTATTTTTTACTATTTTTTACTATTATTTTTACTATTATTTTTCTTCAATTATTTTTATTTTCATTACTACTATTATTATTTCCATTACTACAATTATTAGATAATCTATCAATTTTTATCTAAAATTTGAAAGTAAAGAAAAAAAAATTAAAAAGAAAAAAAAACTGAAACTAAATTAAAAAATTGCAATTCCTTTTTTTAATCTAAGAAAAAAATAGATTCAAGGGAGGAAACGCGTCTTCTTGAGAATGAAAAGCCACGATAAGAAAGTATTCCAACAATTTTTCTTTTCGCCTATCAACAGTTGTAATTTAGCATCATTAACGTCTACGCGTCATCGTTAAAATCCCCAGGGTCACTGGAATCATATAACACACTTGGCAATTTCTCGACCTTAAAATTTCACTTCATTAAGTTCCTTTTTGCCTCTAATCAAGAAAATTTCATATCAATTTTTCCCTTATTCATAGAAACTATTTTTAGCAAAAAAAAAATGATACGACAAAGTCAAAATCTATTCTATTTTCTCTGTCAACATGGAAATAAAAAAAAACACGTCCAAGAGAAAAGACACACGTGTAGAAGGCGTTCGACAAAAAATAATTTTTCTTTTTTGCAAGCTGACCTTGACTTTGATAAATCTCAACCAGTAAATTTAAATTTAGCCTGTCTTGTCCGGTTTTTCTTCCGGGTTAATTAAGTACAATAAGAAGCAAAAAAGTCTTCTTTACTTAAGAATCTCTAATCTGAAATTATTTACAATTTTTACCAGAAGTAAATGTAATCAATAAATAGAATAAGAATTTAATTAAAATAATTAATTGTTCAATAATTAATAGAAATAATTAATAGAAATAATGAGTAGAAATAATTAATAAAAATAATTAATTAAATACAAATCATTACGAATAAAAAAAAGAAATATTAAATACGTAATTTAATGAAAAAGGGGAGAGAGTTTTTCAATAAAAACTTTCAAGAACAGAAAAAAAACGAAATTGCAATTTTTTTTTGGTTGTAAAAAAGAAAATGACCATTTATATAAAATGTGAAGTTCACGCCCTTACAAATGTGACCTTGCACTCGACATAAAAGTTCAAAATTGCTTTTTCCTCACCTCACCGCGAGGGGATGATGTGTAAGAAATGAGATAAGTGACATAACGATAAAAGAAATGTCGTCGTTTCTCTTTTAATACGAAAATATTTCGCAAAAATTAAATACATTTATTTATTATTGATAAAAACGAAGCTTTAAAAAAAGAAGAAAAAAGAAAAACTGTCACAAATGTGAAATGATTTTTCTCCAGGGAGCCAGTTTGACCTCAACTTTGATCGTTAACATTCACTCGACCTTGAACTATAAAAAAAAAAAATCGTATATAAATTTTACGAAAATGTGAAAGTTTTTTCTTCAAAATTTTATTGCTATTTTTTTATAGGTATCACTTTCGTTTCTGAAGATCTAAATTTTTATTTTTTGAAATTGAACCATTTGTGTATTTTTCCTATAGTTTCCAAAATTATATTTTATATTTTAAATCAATACCCTTTCTTTATGAAACTATATATTTCTATTTTAGATAAATTTGTAATTAATAAACAAAATAAATTTTACTATTTTTGCAAAATTTAATTCCCTTCCCTTATAAAAATTATGTATTTTTATATTTGAAATACATTTTTAATTACTAAATTTAATAAATTTTTTAATTTTACTATTTTTTGCAAACTTTAATTAACTCTTTTCGTAATTAAGAGTTCAGTTTGAAATTGTATTACGAAAGGAACAATGGAAAATTTTCAAAATTCTCTATAATTAAAAAATAATAGCCACGTGAAAAATTTTATTCAATTGTATTATATTCTATCAAAAGAATTCTTTTACAAAAAATAAAATCTAAAAAATTATTAATTAAAAAAGAAGAGAATAAATTGAAATTGAATTCCAAATTTAAATAAAATAAAATATTTACAGAGATTTTTTAAAATAAATATTCCATTATTTCTTTCGTATATTGGAAGAAATTTTCAAACAAAATTGTTAATTACGAGAGGATATATATATATAAATAGATAAGTAAAATAAAATATTTAAAAAATGGTCACTTTACTCGTATATTTTCAAAAATAAATTAATAATTAAAATTCAATGAAGAAAGAAAAATCAAATTTTGTTTTAAAGAAAGTATTATCAATAAAAAAATTTCTTAAATTTAAAAAATTGAAAAACGCGGAAAATAGAAAAAATAGAGAAAAAAAATTGAAAAAATGGGAAAAAATAAAAAAATAGATCAAATAAATAAAATAGAGAAAAAAAATTGAAAAAATAGGGAAAAAATCGAAAAGTAGAGAAAAAAATCAAAAAATAGAAAAAGAAAAAAATACAATAAATAAAATGAGAATCTAATAAATATAAATAACAATAAATCGAGATAAAAAATCCATACCGAGAAATTTTATCTTGTCTCGCGGCAATTGCTTGTGGAGTGACATTTTCCTTGAGTTGCAATGCGAGACCGCATCGAATTGCGCCAACAACACCGGCAGTTCCACTTTCCTCACGTAGTTCCGGATCATGAAGATATCGATGTGAATCGCGCATATCTTCTGCCTCAAATTCCTCCCTTAGGAGAGATCGTTTGACTATGAGAACTCCAGGCGACTGTACACCCCCGATGAATTTATGGCCAGCGAAGATAATCGCATCCTTATGCACTGCCGTCTCACCGACCCCGGGGAGATGAGGATTCATCTCCATTCGTACGTTCGGAGCTAAAAAAATTTCAAGATAAGAAACATATAATTTATTATAGAATCAATACTCGAGGCATTGAAAAAAGTTCATGCGAAGAAAAAAATTGTACATAAATTTTCAATTTTTTCTTTTCTATAGATTAAAACTTAAAAAGTGTTTATTCAAATCTCAAGAATTTTTTTTCTTACATAAATCCTCTTTTCTCGCCCTCAAAAAATAAAAATTAGTTCAAATAATTTTTTTTTCTCCTCAAAAAATAAAAATTACATTTATGTTCTTCAAAAACAATTTTTTTCATCCTCAACGAATAAAAAATACTTTAAGTTTAAATAATTTTTTTTCATCCTCAACGGGTAAAAAATACTTTAAATAATTTTTTTTCATCCTCAACGAATAAAAAATACTTTAAATAATTTTTCTTCGTCCTCAAAAAATAAAAATTACTTTAAATAATTTTTTTCCATCTTCAAAAAATAAAAATTAGTTTAAACAATTTTTCTTCGTCTTCAAAAAATAAAAATTATATTTTACGTTTATAAACAGAAAAATCCTTTCGATTTATTATTTATTAAAAAAAATAATCCACCTTGTGATGAATTCTCTCTTTGAAAGTAAAACAAGATTATAATTGTGGAAAAAAACGGAAATGAAAATTAACTATTTTTTTTAATCGTCTCTGTAAATTAACTCACCAGCTGAGGTGTAATCCCAAATGCTGAGTGCTTTATGCTGACGAAGAAGTAAAGTTGTTGCAACGTCATCAGCAAGAACACCTGTTATGCAACTGGCAGCACTAAAGTAACCCACCATTCGTGCTGTTGAATTCTCTTTACTCTCAGACTCTAATTTCCTCTCTAAATCATTTAGGTCCAGGAAACCCTCTCGAGTCTCTTTTATTCGTATTATCTGTAAATAAAAATCCATAACAAAAAAAAATTAAAAATCATTAAAGGATTCGAAAATATTTTTTTTATCAAATTTTCCAGTAAAAATTCATAGAATAAGATTGAAAAAATATTTTTTGGCAATTGTCTTAAGAATACAATTGAAAACACTCGTAGAATATTTTTTTTTCATTTTATATAAATTATAAAGTAATTAATTGATTTCAATTAAATTTTATTTTTAAGAATACTTTATTATTATTTCAAGAAATACTTCACTATTATTTTAAGAAATACTTGATTATTTTAAAGAATACTTTATTATTTTCAGGAATACTTTATTATTTTCAGGAATATTTCCGCAATTCTTTAATATTAGTATTTAAAAAGTATTCTTAAAAATACTTTTAGATTATTCTAAAGAAATTACCATGCTTTTTAATTTTGAGAAATGTTCCTTTAGTCATAAATGTTTTAAGAGTATTTTTAGGAATACTTGTCAATTATATGAAAGGAAAACATTCCAAATATACTTTTTCGAATAATTCTAAAAGTTTTGGTATTTTTCTAGAAGATTATTGCAAAAAAAATTCGCAATATTTTTAGCAATACTTCCAAAAGAATACTTTATTATTCTAAAGAAAAATTTATTATTATTATAAGGAATACTTTCGTTTCTTGATTTTTAAATACATTTTTAAATAGAATATTGCTAGTAAATTCTTTTTACCAATTTTTTTCGCAGAGATTTTTAAAAATATTTTTTTAACCAATTTTTTTTTATTATTCTAAAATACTAATCTTTTTTAAGAATACTAATACTAGAAAGTTCTATAAAATATTTTTCGCGAATACGAATATTAAAAAATCTTTTTTTGTTTTTCTTCTACTTAAAATAAATTTTTCAGGAATACGAATACCAAAAAATTCAATAAAAATATTCTTCAGGAATACTAATACTAAATAATCTGTAAAAAATATTCATCAGGAATACGAATGCCAAAAAATCTATAAAAAATATTCATCAAGAATTATACTAATACTAAGAAAACGAATAAAAAATATTTTTCAGGAATACTAATACCAAAAATTGTGTAAAAAATATTCATCAGGAATACGAATGCCAAAAAATCTATAAAAAATATTCTTCAAAAATACTAATACTAAGAAAATGAATAAAAAATATTCTTCAGGAATACTAATACTAAAAACTATAAAAAAATAAGTGGAAAAAATATTATATTATTTATTTTTTTTCACATATTATTTATATTGAAAATAACAAGAAATTATACTCCTACGAATAATAAAGTGGAAATTTTTTCCTGGACCAATAAAAAGAAAGGGGAAAAAAATAAACAAAACCTCACTTAATACTATATAATAAGGGTAACTAATTTTGTACCTTAACGCCATATTCTCGCCAGGGCCTCAAGTTACCATGGTGTTCAAAGGGCCCGACAAAGACGACGGTAGGTGTTGTGAGATCAAGATGGCGTAAAAGTGTGCGCAATGCACCTGCAGTGCCTTGACCCATGAAAAGGACAGCATCCTGCTCACCGGCTCCGACAGCATGCCGAACTATGTCTCTGGCCTCGTGCCTAAAATTTACATTTATAATTCATAATTATTATCATTTTTATAATAATTATATTTCACTCAAAACGTGTAATTTCACTGCTCAGTCTTTAACTTCATTGTAAAAAAAATATCTCCCAAAATTATAAGCAAGAATACTTCGCAGTATTAAAAGAATACTAATGGACCATTTAAAAAAATTATGTTTACAATTTTAATATTATTATAGTTAAATAATATTTAACGTACGAGAAACTTTATAAAATTATTGTTAAATTATTTTTATTATTATTTTAATTTTGTATATTATTTTTTCGATAGACTCCCTGAAGAGAATTTAAATTTCGCGCCTTTGTAATTCTTAAAGTCCCCGTCCAGATGGCATGAAAGTCCTCTCGAAAGCGAGATGAGCTGAGCGAGTTATGAGTATCAACGACTCATCGAGATTATATTTTGTTCGGTTTACGTTAATTAATTTATAAAAATAGTTAATTAAATAGTTAATTTTCAGTTAATTTATTCAAAGAAACTAACTAATGATGATAATGACAATTATTATTTTTTTATTATTTATTTTATTATTTATTTTTTTTATTATTCTATTTATTTATTATTATAATAATTATTATTTTTATTTTTATTACAAATCAGAATACTAACAATAATACCAAATTATTAGTATTATTAGTATTATTAGTATTATTATTATTTAAATTATCATCATTATTATTTTTACTTTTATTATCATTGGTTTTATTTTTAGCATTGCTCGAAAACTGATGCACTATTCTGATTTATATTATATAAATATATTTTTATATACATAAGAATCTAAAAGTATTCAATTATTATTGTGCAGAAGTTTTGAATAAAAGTTTTTAACGAGGAAACTTTGTAGATTACAGTAAATGACAGAAAACGTTTAACTTTTATCCTCTTTTGTTATTTTTTTTCCTCTTGTTGAAAATGCATTTTTGAAACAAGCTTTATTCTTCTTTTTTGTTATAATACACTTCAACGTTCAAAAGCTTTCTTCAGCTTCTGTTTTTTAAATACATTTTCATAACGCGGTGCAAAAAAAGGCACTTTTTTGCACCTTGTTATGAAAAATATCGTTCGTAACTAGTGCTAGCAGTTGCCAATTTTTGAAAGATCACTTTTTTTGGAACAAACTGTAGGCGAAGCTTCGCTTCGCCTACAGTTTGTTCCAAAAAAAGTGCTCATTCAAAAATTGACAACTGCTCGCACTCGTTACGAAATATACTATTTTACATTATATATTCGTGTAGTGATGTTCCCTTGTCAAACCAAGGACACATATTTCATGCACTTGTATATGTATATACAATACATATAAACGATATGCACTCTTTTGACCCAGTTTCAAAATATAATTGTCTGACAAATGGAAATAATAAAAGAAATTCTCATCACTGTATAAATTTCACATTTTTCTCAAAATATCTTATCAATTTTTGCGGTATTTAATATACTGTATGTATTTTTATTAAGATATTTTCTTTCAATTTTTATATCAGACTTGAATACCTATATATTTTTTTCAATATTTAATTGAATTTTTCATATTTAAACATTTTGTTATAAATAAAAATTTGTTTTCAACTCAAATAAAATTGAATTTTTATTTTTTAAATTAATTTTTTTTTTGTATTTTTCATACGATTTCGAATTGAGAAAAGAAAAGTGAAAAATTAGAGACATCATTTTCTCAGACCAGAAAATAAAATCAGAATTTTATTTAATTATTAATTTAAACATTTTATTATAAATAAAAATTTATTTTAATTCAAATAAAACTGAATTTTTATAAATTAATATCGTTTTGAATTTTTGTATTACGATTCGAATCAAGAAAAGGAATTAAAAATAAAAGACTATTACTCTCTCAAATTAGGAAATGAAAAAATAATAATTAAATTAATTGAAAAACTAATTAGGCTATTAACTAAATTTTAATTATTAATTTAAACATTTTATTATAAATAAAAATTTGATTCAATTCAAATAAAATTGAATTTTACTGGAGTATTTTGAACCGAATTATAGAAAAATATTTTTTATAATAAACAAATTAACAATTTAATTAATTATAACAATTTTAAATTTTAATTAATTAATTAATTATTATTATTAATTTTTTCTCTTCCTATTATAAAAAATTTAATTTTTAAGGGAAAAATCGTACTAAAAAAATCGAATTTGAAAAAAAAAATTCGTTAATATCGATTTTTAATTTTAAAAGAATTGTAACAAAAAAAAATGAAAACACTTTATAGGTCCGAAAGGATCCGACGTTTGACTGGTTTCAGGAGTTGATTATTGATCTGGGGACAGCAGCAGTAGCAGCCAGCACCCTGTATCTACCCACCTCCCCTACGCCTCATTTCAAGGCAAAACGGATACGCCTTCCTGAACATACCGTTGCCCTACATATTTTATTCTAGTTAAAAAAAATAATAACAATAACACTAGATCTAATCCTGAAGAACCAATAAATTATTCCTCATCACGATTAGGCCTCAGCAAAAAAATTATTGTGCTAGACGATTAAACAATATCCCAATAATATTTTTTATAACCAAACATAATTTTTTGAACTCCTGACAAATTTTTCCTACCATCATTTTTATTTAATTATTTCATTCATTATTTATTTATCACTAGTGTTTATTCAATTACATTATTCATTGTTTATTTAATTATTTTCATTATTCTTTGTTCAATTATTTTATTGTTTTATTTTAAATATTATTTTTTGTTTGTTCATTTATTGTATTATTTATTTATTTATTTATTTATTAATATTTTGATTTAATTATTTTATTCCTTGCTGATTCACTTATTTTTTTATTCCTTATTCAGGGTTGCCATAAAAATATAATTTTGTTTTTCTCTGATTTCCAGAGAGAATTTTGACATTTTCCCTGACCCTAAAGAATATTCTGATTATTATTTTTCCTTGGGAACTAAGATTTTCAAAAATATCAAATTTAAACATTTTTGAAATTCAATAATTTATAAAAATATTATTATAAAACATAAAGAAGTCAATCACTCCGAGTCTTCGACTCGAAGTGATTGACTTCTTCATGCAATAATTAAATATTAAAGATTACCCAATAATAAAATAATTATTTTATATAAAAATATTGTTACTCTATAACTTCTTCGAAATTATTTTCATCATTTAAATTCAATTAACATTTTCTAGAATTTTTAACTACAATTCTTCTTTAAATTAATTATTAGTTAAAAGTACGAAAAATTTATAATTCCAAAGATTTTAATTTGAAACCTTTTCAAAAAACAATTATTTCTAAAAATTTATGCTTTAATGCTTTTAATATTAAAATTATTATACAGAATTTTAACCGAAACTCATTTTGAAATAAATTTTTAATAGAAAATCCTACGAGAATTCAATTATTTAAATACAAAACTAAATAATTTATTGAATAGTTGAATGTTTCTTAAAATTGAATATTTATGAAAATTTTTATTAACAACTTTTCAAAATAATTAATTTCGAATTCAATTAAAATTTTACAAAAATTTATTGATCCAAAGAATTTAATCACAATTTTTGTAAATAATTGAAAACTTTTGAAGAATTTTATTAAAATTTTTAAAAATTGTTGAATTTATGAGGAGAATTTAATTAATAATTTTATGAAAGTAATTGAATTCATGCGAAGAATTTTATTAAATTTTGCTTAAATAATTGAAATTTTGACAGGAATTATATTAAAACTTTTGAAAATAATTGACTTCTTGAGAATAATTTCGGAACCTATTTATAAAAATAACTTAATTCTTGACGAGAATTTTTCAAAAATGTTGAAAATAATTTAATATCTGCAAAATATTTTATTACTTTTCAAAAGAATTGAATTCTCGTAATGAATTTTGTTATTTATCAAAATAATTGAATTTTGGAAAAGAATTTTATTAAAATTCCTTAAAATAATTGATTTTTTGGGAAGAATTTTGTTGTTTATCAAGATAATTGAATTCTTTTGCAGAATTACTTAAAAAATTTTCAAAATAAACGATTTTCTGCAACGAATTAAAAATTATTTAAGAAAATATTTGAATTATTGTAACGAATTTTATTTTATTGAATAATTAAATGTTTCTTAAAATTGAATTCTTTTGTCAAGTTTTAATAGAATTTTCAAGAATAATTGCATTTTTCGAGGAATTTATTTAAAATTGTATTAAAAATATTTAAAATTCTGCGATGAAATTAATTGAATTCCTAAATGAAATTTTATTATTTATGAAAATAATTGAATGTTTTCGTAGAATTGTATCAACAATTTTTTTTCAATAATTAAATTTTTTAATAAATTTTATGAAAATAGTAAATATTGAAAATTATTGAATTGCGAAAAACTATTTAAACTAGTTGAAATTTTGCAAAGAATTTTATTTAAATTTTTTTAAATAATTGCATTTTTGATGAAAGATTATGCTATTTATAAATATAATTGAATTCTTGACAAGATATTCGTTAAAATTAAAAAAAAATTGAATTTCTGCAAAGTATTTTATTATTTTTCAAAAGAATTGAATTCTCGTGATGAATTTTGTTATTTATCAAAATAATTGAATTTTGGAAACGAATTTTATTGAAATTCCTTAAAATAATTGAATTTCTGTGAACAATTTTGTTATTTATCAAGATAATTGCGTTAAAACTTTTGAAATAATTGAAAAATATTTAAAAATCCATTGTGGTCAGAAATAAAAAAAAAATTTTTTCCAGTACTTTTAATAAAAATTCCTGACTTTTCCCTGATTTTCCTGACCAATTCTACTTTCCTTGACTTTTCCCTGAATTCCCTGATCTCCATGACCTGTGTCAACTCTGTTATTAAAATTTTTTTTTTTGTTCCATTATTTTATTTATAATTTATTCAATTATTTTCTTCTTCATTTCTCCAATTATTTTAGTTCTTATTTATTCAATTATTCTATTAATTGTCTTTTTAATTATTCTACTTTTTGCTTATTTAATTTTTCTATTAATTATTTCTTCAATTTTTATTTTATTTTTTATTTATTTTTATTCAATTATTTTATGAACTATTTATTCAATTATTTCAGTTCTTGTTTATTCAATTATTTGATTTATTATTTACTCAATTATTTTATTATTTTATTCAAGTTAATAAATTATTATTCATTCTGTTTATTGTCATTATATAATTAATCTTATAGAGATTATAGTAAATAAAAATTTAATTTATTAAAAAAATGATTTATTTATTATTATTTATTTATTTATTACCCGAATAAAAATGTTTTGTGTTTACGGTACGAAAAAATAATTGTTTCTCTACGTTTTATTGTACGATGACTCCTTTTTCGAACAGTTATTGTCCTTGTTTTGCATATATAATTACCTTGTTGAAAATCATAAAATTGAGCAATTTGAGAATAATAATTCCAAGGAAACCCACCTGAATAGTGAGGACTGCAAGCTGCATATCGAAGTTGATGTTCGAGTGTCCCCCAACAATGGAAGGACCTCTTTTGTAATATACTCCTCCAGAAATTGCAGTGACCTTCCGGATGCCGTGTAATCGCAGTAAACAACTGAAACAATAAAGAATTATTTATTATTATCTTTTTCATCTAGAATTATAAAAATATAATAATCTTTTCATATTTTTTTATTTTTTCAATCATAAAAGTAAAACGATATTTTCATACTATTTTATTTTTTTCAATCATAAAAGTAAAAAGATATTTTCATATTATTTTATTCATTTTAATAAAAAAATTAAAACTATATTCAAATAAATTACATGTTTTTAATTTAATATTTTTATTTTTAATCATTTAATTAATATATTATTATTACAATTATTATTATTATTATATTAATATTATAATTTATTCTGTAAATTAATTCTTAACTTATTATTGAAGTTTATGATTCATAAATTAAAATATTGTAATTAATTAATTAATTTATTATTTATTTATTTACTTTTGTTACTTTTTTGAAATTAATATTAGAATTAATAAATTAGCAAATCAATTAATTTTAATATTAAGAATTAAAAAGCTTTAATATTTTTAATATTTACGACGAGTAAGTGATACTTATAACTTGTTTATTTCATCTCGCTTTCGAGAGAACTTTCATGCCATCTGGACGGGAACTTTAAGAGTTATAATGGCGCGAAATTCAAATTTAATAAAACCGAAAAACGAAATAATTGTAAATATTGTGCTATGCTCATGCTAATAATTAATAACAATAAGAATATTTAATAAGAATAAGAATAATTAACAATAATAATAGTAATTAATAATAAATAAAAAAATTATAATTTATAATTAAATAATACAATTCTTCCTCTATGAGGTAACAATAACAAAAATAATAATAATTAATGATAATAATAATAATAAAATTAACGTATCATGGTGGAAAATATATTATTTTATCTAAACTCGAGTAAAATTCAGGGCTAAATTTATAATACGTAAAAAAATGGTTCTGCTGTAAAGTTGATGATAATTTTTATATGAATAATTAAAACACTCGCGGAAATATGAGAAGTTTATGCTTGCTATTTAATATAGTTGTTCATCATACTTTAGAGAAGACAATATGAGATATATATCTTGCACAATTAGAGGAGATACTTGTTTAGACCTTGAAATTAATTTCTAATGTACATAGTGCACTACACTTTGGAACTACAATAAACTGAGATAAAATGCCATCTTGTTCGACCAGTTATTCAAATGTTAATTTTACATCTACGTGACGAATTGCATTATTTAAATCCATTTCACAGTGTGTCAAGAAAAATTTTTATTTCTCTCCTCTTTTTTCCTTTTTTTTTTTTGTTCTAAAACGTAGCAAAATTTTTTGTTCTGAATGAATAAAACAAAAAATGCAAAATAATTCAAAAATAATACAGAATAATTTAGAAATATTATGAAAATAATTGAAAAATAATTTAAATAATACAAAAATAATTGAGATAAAAGAAAATTAATTAATATAAAATTGGAAAATACAAAAGTGATTAAGAAATATAAAATTTAAAAAAATAAAATACAAAAATATAAAATTCAAAAATATAAAACTAATTAGGAAATAATTTTAAAAATGATAAAAAATAATTAATTGCAAAATTCAAATTCAAACAAAAATCAAAACTAATTATCAGTTAGAAAACTGAATTTAGTTTTTTTAAGACTAAATGAAATAATTTTTTTCATTTTTATTCCAGAGATTTATGACTAACGTGTTGCATTCAATGGAAAATTTTTCAAAATTTATCTCCCAAATGGAATTTAATTACACGATTGAATTTTTATTATAAAGTTTGTATACTCGATTTTCAACTTTATATAAAAATACTTTTTTCTTTTTTTCTATTAAATTCATTAGTTTTATTACTATATTTTTAAAAAATCAATGAATGAATTAGAGTTATATTTAAATTTATTTTTGATGTTAATTCAAAAATTACAATATTAATTAAATTAATATTTATTAATTTATTTATTAATTAATATTTATTGTTTTCTAATTTATACTATAATTCCAAAATTATCTAATCAATTAATTTCATAATAATAAAAAAACTAATATTTTTTGTTTACTCCATCTCGCATTCGAGAGAACTTTGATGCCATCTGGACGGGAATTTCAAGAGCTATAATGGCGCGAAATTCAAATTCAATAAAATTGTAATTTTATTTGAAAAGAAAAATAACAACAGAAAAACAGAAATTTTTGCAGATGTTTCTAAAATTAAAAAAGTTTTCACTTCAGTATTTGGACATTTGAGTAAAGTTATATTTACGAGGGTAACTTGAATAATGAGTAAATGATTTTTTTCTCAATTTATTCGTCACATGTGCGGTGTAAACTTGGCATTTGTGTACGGTAGCGATAAATGTTTTCGTGCAGAAAGTCACGCTCGCAAAGAGAGCCTCTTAAGAACCAATTCTATTTACGGATAGAGCAAAGTAACTCAAGTAACGATGAAAATAAATCTCTTCGTCACAAAGTGCGTTACTTCCGGTTGTTATTTCTAAAAGGCCTACACACTGCCGCGAGATCTCCCTTGACTAAATTTGTTCGCCTTTTCCGTATATCTTGTATAATATTTTCTTTATAATTAACCCGCGCGCTCCTCTCATCTAGAACAGTTTCTTAAAAAACAACTTTCATAAACTTGCACTCGAACCAAAATAACTTTTCTTTTTTCTTAAAATTTTAATTATAATCTAATTATAATAATAAATCAACAACTATTATTTATATATTACTGTTATTATTTTATTACTATTACTGTTATTATTTATTATTATTAATTATTATTATTATTAACATAAGAGCGGTTTTTATTTGCAATTGTTTCGCTCATTTTCGTTTTTGAATTTCGCGCCATTTTAACTCTGTAAATTCTCGCCCAGAGGGCATGAAAATTCTCTCACAAACAAGATAAAATGACGAATTTTTAAGTTAATATTTATTTGATAATAGATAATAGATTACTGAATCGTTTATTTGAATGAAATTAATTTTTTTCTAGTGTATAATTTATACAACCAGAGAAAAATTTTATTTGAACAAAATATAATTTATTCCAGTTAAATAAAAGTTTATTGTCTCAAAATTTATTCGTCTTAAATAAAAACTTTTTATTCGGCACAAATTTTTTTCCATAGAAATTTTTTTTCCTTTCGCAAAACAATCTTATTTTCAAGAATGGAAATTTTATTTTTACAAAAAAAAAATGTATTTAAATGAGAAAGAAAAAAAAGGAATTTTAGCAAAAAAAAAAATGTATTTTCTTTTTACCAGTGATAATAAAATATTATGTGACTCGACAAAATTGTGTAGTTAATAATGTGCATTGCTGGATGCATTAGCACGCGTGACCTTCGCGAACAGAGCCTGCTCAACGTTTTATAAAGTATATAGTGTATATAAGAATGCATGTGAAAGTGCGGATAAGAAAACGAGCCTATAAAACTATCCACCTTGTCACTTGCAAAAGAGACTGAAAATGAATGGCCTCATGAATATACGCACACGGAACAGTTAAAATGATGATATTCTCTCTCATTCTCTTGGAAAAATATAATAATCTCAGTATATACACAAAAAGCGAAAGGAGATCAAAAAAATCACAAAGTCGAAAAATAAAAAAAATAAACAAAAATTTTATTGATTTAAAAAATTTTTTTTCCATTTGAAAAATTTATATTTTTAAAAAATTATCAAGTCCACGATTCGAAAACCATTCAATTTATATACGTATGTCTGTGAGTAAAATTTATACAATCGTAGGTCAAAATCAACTGAAGAAGAAAATTTTCACATTATAAATAGAAAATAAATTAACTTTATTTTATCCTAGCTTATTTAACGAAAAGGGAATTAAATCGATCATGAAGAAAAAGATATTTATACGAGTTCCATATATAAATTATTAAAATATTCATTATAACAGTAGAAAATAGAGGATATTCGAAAATTATTTTTCCGATAAATGCGGAGAAAAGATATTTTACCTTATTTGCAATTTAATAAATAATTATTTTTGAAGTGAATCTCTTCCATTTATAGAAATTATTATTTTTATGCTTAGGAAAAATTAATATCATTCTTTTTTTGTAATTTAAGTACAACAATTATTTTTTAATGCAATTTTTAATCAATTTATTAATGCCATTTTTAAATAATTTGTTAACAGCATCAATAATAATAATAATTGTATAATTATAAATTTAATTTTAATAATGAACGTTTTTAAATCTGTTCGTTTTCTTTTCATTCTACTTTCTTTTCGCTTTTTTATTTTATAATATCGATTAATTATTGATCAATTAATTAACAAAATTAAAAAAAATTTGAGAGTAATAATTAATTATTAATACATTTTTTTGTCAACTGTTTCAATATTTTTTTTCAAATCATTTGGTACACATTTTTGTTTACAAAAAAATTGAAAATTGAATAGTAAATAAAGTAGAAAAGAAAATAGTCAATAAAATAGATAATAAAGTAGAAAAAATATCAAATTTACTAGAAATTATACTAGAAAATAAAGTAAAAGAAAACTAGAAAATATAATAAAAATAATGTAGAAAAGAATATGGAAAATAAAATACTTATTAAAGTAGAACAGAAAATAGAAAATTAAATAAAAAAATAAAGTAGTAAATAAAATAGTAAAATTGTAGAAAATAGAAAAGTAGAAAAATGTAAATAAAGTAAAAAATAGAAAAGTAAAAAAAAGTAGGAAATAATGTAAAAAATAAAATAGTAAAAAAGAGGAAGAAAATACATAATAAAGTAGAAAAGAAATTGGAAAATTAAATAAAATAATAAAGTAGTAAATAAAATAGTAAAATTGTAGAAAATTGAAAAGTAAAAAAATGTAAATAAAGTAAAAAATAGAAATGTAGAAAAATGTAAATAAAGTAGAAAATATAAATATAGAAAAATGTAAATAAAGTAAAAAATAGAAAAGTTAACAAAATAAGAAACATTGTAAAAAAGAAAATAGTAACAAATAGGAAGAAAATACTTAATAAAGTAGAAAAGAAAATGG